CATCCTCCTGCTCTAAATCTTACTGGAGGGGATTGTTGTTGTCTTCGGCACTATCCGGAGTGTTATTATCTCCTGTGCCGGTATCACCACTTTTGCTTTGGCGGGACTTAGAGCGGCGCCGCTGACGTTGGCGCTTGGGTTGCTTCTTGGAGGGGTCATCCTCCGCTATCTCGCCGCCATTGCCTTCGTTGGGTGTATCCACCATGTATATGTCATACGACGAGGTGGCTTTCCAGTGCCCTATAGGTGCTGATTCATGTTCGTCTCCTACATCGTCGTCCATACCGTCGATGTCTTCGGAGTCGAAGTCGAGCATGTCGGTTAAATTATCAACAATGGCTACGAAGTGGGTGGTGGGTGGGCGTCGAATTTCTTCGTCGTCCGCATCCCAATCCTGTTGGCCATAATCCGGCCAGGGCTCTCCTGACAAAGAGAGAGACCTTAGTAAATTCAGAATGTCGCCGAAGGGCGAGTGTTGAAAGATATCCGTAGCGGTGAATTCCATGATCGGTGCCCAATCGGATTCGATTGGCAGGGGCACGGATGGTTCGGAGTCCGGAAAAGAGTCCGACACCTTGGAGTCACGGGCTGCATAGAGGATTATGCCCGTGTTTGGCTCGATTGCCGTCGAGACTGCAGCCCCTGAGGCGGTGTCTAGCCACCCGTCCTCGATTGGCGCAGTTGGCTCCGAGCTAAGGGTCGAAGCTGATGCGGGCGTGGCCTCTGGGGTACTGTTCGGCGGTAGAGCTAGGTCATACCCCTCGCGACAGTGCGGCGCGCCCGGCTGTGGCTCGAATCCGTCGAAGATCAAGTCTCCGCGGATGTCGGCCGTGTAGTTCAAACTTCCAAATCTTACCTGATGGCCAGGGGTGTAACTTTCAATCTGCTCTAGATGGCCAAGCGAATTAGCCCGCAGTACAAAGCCGCCGAATACGAAGATCTGTCCGGGGAGAAAAGTCTCACCCCAGACCACATCGCTATCGATGATAGTAGGAGCCATCAAGCCTAACGGCGACGGCATAGAGGAACTCTCAATGAAAGCACCAATGTCGGTGTCAAAACCGGCGGATCTCGGATAGGGGGTCCCGAACTGTGCGTCTGGGCCGGATGGTAACAAGAGGCAGTGGACACGATGTTTTACCCAGGTTCGGGCCCTCTTGATGGAGGTAAAACCCTACGTCCTGCTTGATTAATATTGATGATATGGATAGTACAAGAGTAGATCTACCACGAGATCAGAAAGGCTAAACCCTAGAAACTAACCTATGGTATGATTGTATGTTATGGTTGTTGTTGTCCTACGGACTAAAACCCTTCGGTTTATATAGAAACCGGAGAGGGTTAGGGTAACACAAGGTCGGTTACAAAGGAGGAGATATCCATATCCGTACTGCCTAGCTTGCCTTCCACGCCAAGTAGAGTCCCATCCGGACACGAGACGAAGTCTTCAATCTTGTATTTCATAGTCTAACAGTCCGACCAATGGAGATAGTCTGGCTGTCCGAAAACCCCCTAATCCAAGACTTCCTCAGTCACCGTGTCGAAAATAATACATCATAAAAAAACAGAAGGAGTACTTCAAAAGACTGTAATGTCCCGTGTTTCACTTTTTCCCACCATCTCTTGGTCCAATCTTTCCCATATGATAATCAATCACCTTAATTACTTACCTGTTAACCAATTTCACTTTAATTTACTTACCAGATTTCTCATGAAAATACATGGTGAATCACGAGCAGAATCTGATAAACATTTATTTACACAATCACATTAATATGAGCAGGTAAATCACAAGCTAACTTACTATTTATATCCCACTGCAATGCACAGACATTATCCTATTTAATCTAAAAAACGCTTAACGAATCCAATCTTCTTTCTTTTTTGGAGGGGAAAACGAATCCAATCTCCAGTTGACCTTTTGAGATATGTGCATATGGCGGTTGCATGTAGGGAAGCACACGGTGATACCAATCTTTACACACTCCCATGCTACCATTTATTTTAGAACTAGATCATGATGGCCCGCGTTGCTGCGCCCGTTCATTTAAAAAATTAAAATATTATATAAATATTTAAAAACATAAACTATCATATATTAGACAATTATATGAATATAATATTTTACATAGACTATAGTAGTAAATAATTCTCTTCTAAATATACATGATGTTGCTGCTAAGGGGCAAAACTTTTAGGCTTGTCCCGTTGCACGACATCGCATTGACGGGTCAAATGGCGCATACACTAATAATGCTTGTATAAAATATAATTACCTACCCAAGCTTTAAAGGATCACCGACATAATTATTTTAGAAAAAATCATAGACTGGAAACAAACACGTGGCTATTGTTACAAAAACACCATTTTTGTTCTTTCATAGGCAGACACAACAAGTGACAATTTTCATAGAGGGTAACATTTTTCTGGTGACATAACACATAAAATGTTTAAGCTTAGAAAATAATTCTAAATAATAATTTTTTAGACATAATAATGAGTGACAATTTTCACAAAAAATATGGTTGTTCGAGATCTCTCTTTACACCTCATATCTGTTAGTTAATATGGTTATGGTATGGTTTACATAATGGATGCTAGAGAAAACTCTCATAAGCCGTGTACTTTTCTTGACATCCACCTTTTCAGGGCTCAAAACCTTGGAGGTTTTCTAAATATCTAATACTTGAATAGCGAAATGTTCATCTATACCCTTTCGAAACATGTGTTTTCACTTTTGGAGAATACATATGAAAATGATAGTTTTGCACATACCTGACTTAACCCCAAAAGGCGATGGGCAACTCCGCATGTGCAGCACACACGAGGCTAGAAAAAGCACTTGACTCCAAAAATTACCACAATAATCAAGCATCTCACAATTTAGCTCAATAGGTGGATATAAAATTGTTTCCCGGGACATATAAGTAAGAGCAATTCTGCCCAGCCTTTTTTTTACGGGAGCAATTATCTTCAGAATTCTTTTGAGAAATTATGTCCAGACTTAACAGCAGGATAATTGACTCAGTGTTGATGTTCAAATTAGAGTGATTGATTGGTCATGGCCGCTGGGATGATGAACGCACCCACCTACTCAGAGTACTTTTTTTGTGCTATGACCACGTTTTACACTTCATCGACCAAAGCAAGCCCAGCAGCCCGATCAATCACAGCTGGCCCAGATAGCTCCATGGAGCAGCAGCCCTAGAGAAACATCAGGACATCCAGACATCATGCGATCGACGTAATCGGACGGCCAACGAAGGTAAAACGCTGTGGAGGCTCCTAGGTCGCTTAGTTATACTGTTTCTCAATTTTAAAAAAATCTAAAAAATCATGAATGTTTACAACACATGTGTTTACCACCCGTAAAAAATTTAGATCCAAACTCCAAATACACATTGAGAATAAAAGACAAATCTCTGTCATTAAAGATGATATATGGAAGATCAAAGTGCCACCTAATACACATGTTTTTCTCTGGTTAATATACTATAACAAGAGCCTAACTAGAGATAACTTGGCCAAACGCAGGCATATAGATGACATGTCTTGTGTCTTCTGCAACGAACCTGAAATTATCCAGCATCTATTCTTTGATTGCATTGTTGCTAAAAATGTTTGGAATCTAGTTGCTGATATTTTTAAGGTTGATGTTCCTAATTCATTTGCTCTGCTGACTTCCTTCTGGAAGAGAAGAAAACACCTTGAAGCTTTAAGCATCGTTACTGCTGCTACCTTGTGGAGCTTATGGCGTTTTTGAAATGACTTTGTTTTCCAGGGGCGAAGATGGCAAAGTATATGATGTGTTTTGAACCTGTTGGGGGCAACGATCAAGCAATGGAAAATACTATGCTCAGAAGCTCAGGGTGCGCTACTTCTCCGATGTTTAAGCCTACTGGACCACCGAAGAGGGGAATTGCTTAGGATTGCTTGGAGATAAAATGCTATTTTCGAGGACATCGCTGGACTGTGTTATGCTAGTTTACAATTCTTAACTTTGATCTTAAGTAAGCTGGCATGTTGCTTCCTGGCTATGTCTCTTGGCTTGAACTACCTAAAAACTTGTAATAGGGCAGTCTAAAACCCCGTTTCCTATCTGTGGCAGCTACTCTCCGGTTGCCGCCGAGCGCTGTTAACAGTCTATGTTTGGTTGATGTTTGCCTTGGCTTTCTATAAAGTTGGGGTGGGAGGAAACCCCTTTTGTTTCAAAAAAATAAAAATAAAAGACAAATCCATATGTGAATAGTGTCTCCTTGTGCATTTCCTTAAAATAAACATTGAGAAACAAAAATGTCAAATCCATATGTGAACGGTGTCTTCATGTGCATTTTGATTTTGACTTGAATTTTTGAGTGAAGTGCATCAAAGGTCCTCAAACTATTTAAAAGGTGTTACGTAGGTCCTCGAACTATGAAAAGGGTCATTCAGGTCCTCAAAGTGCAATATGCGTGTCATCCAAGTCCTCGAACTATTTTAGCGGTGTCATGTAGGTCCTTAAACTATTTCAAATGTGTCACATACGTACACACTTATTGCACTTCAAGGATTTTTGAGGACCTGGATGACACTTTTCATAGTTCGAGGACCTATGTGACACCTTCAAAATAGTTCGAGGACCTAGGGTGCACTTCACTCTGAATTTTTTAGGGGTTATAGACACATGTCTTGTACACCCTCTGTTTTTAAATGTAAGATGTTTTGACGTAGTAACATTTAGTTTTGAAACTATGGCGTGCTCTATGTTTCTAGGAAAATCATAATGTGCCAACCTACATAAAAAACAAAATTGCATTTTGTTTGGAAACGACAAAAACCTTGAAGCGACGCACGGCAAGGCCAGTCGCTTCGATCTGGTCGCTCCATCTTGAATCCAACGGTACATAGTGAGTGGGTTGGCATCATGTTCATAGTCAACCCGTATACCTCAAGTGCGCGGAAGCCATTGCCGCCTGCCCTCAGTTTTCCCTCTCCCACTCTCCTCCGCCGCCGGCGCCCGATGCGCCACCTCGTCGCGGCGGCGAAACCATCCCGGCGGCGGCATTTCTTCTTCTCCTTATCCCCCTACCACCAACTCTCCACCACGACCACCAGCGGCACCAATTCCTCCCATCTCTGCTCCTTCTACGACCCCGCGGCGCAGTTTCTCCCCTCCGGCTCTCCCCGGCACCTCTCCCTCCCCACCTCCCTCCGCCGCGACTCTCTCCTCGACCTCGCGCGCATCCTCAAGTCCTCCCTGCAATGCCACCTAGCTCTCCGCACCCTCACCTCCCAGACCCCCCCGCTCCATGCCCGCTTCGCCGCCGCCTCCCGCCTCGCCATCTTGTCCCCGGCGCTGCGCCCCTTCGCATCCCTCCTCCTCGCCGCCCTCCTACCGGCCGCCTCCCCGCATCTCCTCGCCTGGTGCGCCTCCCCCGGCGGCGCCCCGTACGCGGCCCTCCGCCTCGCGCTCCACGCCTTTATCGCCGCCGGCATGCCGGCTGAGGCGCTCGTCGTGCTCTCACGCATCCGCAGCGTTGGGAAAACGCCCAGCCTCTCCGCGCTCGCGACGCTGCTGCGCCTGCTGTTCCGCGAGGGCAACGTCCAGGCCGCGTGGAAGGTGTTCGTGGAAATGACAGCGATGGGGCCACGGCCGAGCCTCCCCATCTTCAACGCCATGATCCTAGGGTTATGCCACATGGGGCTCATCCCTGTAGCTGCGGGATTGCTTGGTGTCATGTGGAAGTTCCATGTTACCCCTGATGCGTGCAGCTATAACATCCTGATCAAGGGACATTGTGTGTTTGGGCAGGCAGGGGATGCTTTTGAGCTGCTTGAAAAAATGCACAAGTCAGGGTGCGAGCCGACTGTTGTGACGTATAACATTTTGGTGAATGTACGGTGCCGTGATGGGAATATGGTGGAGGCAAGGAGGCTGTTCGATGAGATGGTGGCGGTGGGGGTCGAAGCAAATACAATCACCTTCAATGTTTTAATCGATGGGTATGCAAAGACTGGGCAGATGGATGAGGCTGATGCCGCCTACAGAGAGATGAAGGAGAGGGGATTGCTGCCAGATTGCTGCACCTTCAACATTCTTTCTGCTGGAGCATACAAGTTTGGAAAGACCGCGCACTTAGCACATGAGCAGCAGGAGCTGTATGAAATGTTTGGTTCACAGATATCAGCAGACAATGTAGATATGACGATCTGTAGGCTTTGTTGGGATGGACGATTGGATGATGCCCGGCAACTTGTGTGTTGTGCAATCGAGCAGGGTGCTCCAGTGAGTGTTGCAGGTTTTAATGCTTTGATTGCTGCATATAGCAAGGAGGGATTTGAAGAAGCAGCTCTTGAGTTATATAAGCTTATGAAAGAGATAGGCCTTGCACCCTTATCCTCCACTTTCAATTACTTGATACTGGGTCTATGCAATCAAGGAAGACTAGATGATGCACAGCTTTTGCTAGAACATATGATTAGTAAGGGATATTCTGTTGGTACCTCATTTACCGTTTACATGGATTCATGCTTCAGGTCTGGTAATGTAGAAGGTGCCTTGAAATGCTGGGATGATATGCTGAAAGTTGGTGGGCAGCCTGATTTTATCGCTTTCTCTGCATATATCAGTGGCCTTTGCAGATTAGATCATGTAAATGAGGCTTATCGGGCATTTGTGGAGATGACAAGAAGAGGTCTTGTTCCGAACAATATTACTTACAACTCTCTGATATCTGCGTTTGTTAGGGTTGGCCATGTGGCCGAAGCACTGCAACTAGAGCAGAAGATGAGGCAGAGTGGTCTTGTTCCTGATGTTTTCACAAGCAACATTCTGATTGATGGTTTTTGCAGACAAGGAAGGCTGGATATGGTGAATAACCGTTTCTTGGACATGCGCAGTAGTGGCTTAACTCCTGATGTAGTGACATACAATACAATTATTAATGCATATTGCCGGGCCCAGGATATGAACGGTGCCATGATTTTCATGAACAAGATGCTTGCAGATGGCTGTGATCCAGATATTTTCACATATAATATTTGGATTCATAGCCTCTGCAACAACCATTCGATGAATCGAGCAGCGAGAGTGCTGGATGAACTTGTTGCTGTTGGTTTCACACCTAATTCAGTTACATACAACACACTGATGGATGGCATTTGCAATGATGTCCTTGATCGAGCTATGATTCTCACTGGTAAACTGATTAAGATGGCTTTTCAACCCAACACCATCACAGTTAATGTTTTCTTTTCTCATTTCTGTAAGCAAGGTCTTGGAAGGCGAGCCCTTTTGTGGGCTGAGAAGCTCAGAGAAGATTCTGTTGCTTTTGATGAAGCTACAATGAATATACTTGACTGGGCTTCCAAGGAGATGGAGGATGACCTCCAGGGTAGAGTTGCTGATATTGACAAATGTATGTTTCTCGAGTTCTTAATGCTCATAACGTACAACACTATGAGCAATAATAGATCCCCAAAGTTTAGACATGTGCCTGTTGAGACAGTTATTGATCCTGCCAACAGCAATACAATCAAAGTTTTAGATACTGGGTAATAGCCAAATTTCATAATCACATGACTACTTGAAAACATTAGCCACACGATCAAAGTTTTTGGTGTCGATGAGGGACATTGGCATGAAGATGACACAATGGTCGCTAGCCTGGAGGAGGCAAGCAAGCAGATATCAATTAGCCGGCCAGAGAAAAGAGAGTAGGAGGAGGAAGAAGAAGACGAGACTAATCGGTCAGGGCGTGTGAGCGACGGGGTCCTGCGCCAACGGGCACCATCTACTGCTGCAAGCACTGCGACTCCAACCCTGCCTATGCCCAGCGCATTGTCTCCAAGGTCTCGGTCTCCTCCTATGTCTCTCATCTCCATTTACATCCCTTCTCCATTTTTATTCATCTTGTTTCCTCGCCAGATGTTCCACTGCAAGCATGGCAAGGCCTACCTCTTCAACAAGGTGTAAGTAATTAGATGACAGCGCCCTGCCTCAATCTTCATGTTGTTATGTGTCTCCATGTTGCCATCATATTTTTACTGTGTGCCTGTTCTCTGTGACACAGATGCTACTGCATTATTATTTAGAATAGCTGTGCTCTGTTCTCTCATGCTCTATGTGCCCATGGTCATCAAGCAATTGCAATTTCTAGTGTTTTGGGCTGTTGTGATGGTCTGTGATCCAAATATACAATGCTAGATATGAAAATATATGATATGGTCATAGCTGAATGCTCAGTTTAGTATTGTACACTGTCAGAAATATTCTTGGTAAAATCAGTTTTGCAGCACTTCACTGAGAGATAGATTGTGTTCCTTAGTCCATGTTTGCTCTGCAATCTTTGATCTAAGATTCTGATTCAGAATGATTGTATCTTCATTTTTGTCTGACAAGTTTGCCTTCTCATCGCTGGATCAAGGTCATTTCAGGTTCATCAGGCTGCCCATGTCCATCTACCACCCAAGCCATGTCGCAGAGCAGCGGAGATACTCCACATGATCTGCTTCAGCTGCCTCCAGTTCAAGAATAACCTGGATTTTCTCAGAAAGATGTATTATGAGCTGAAATTTGAAAGTGACACTAGCTGACTAGCATAACTTGGATTTTCCCAGAAAGACGCATGATTCATTTTGAAAATAACAGGTGTAACTACAGTAGCAATCATCTAAACAAAAAGCATATGCCATGCTTTGTGTAACACATAGTTCAGTAGCCTAGACATTTGTGATGCAAAAATACCACCACATTACCCAAACCCTCAAACAGTATAAACCTCCACTCAAAGTCCAAGGTTAATTTAAGACTGTTAATTAAGCTATCGATGGCTGGTGTTTATTTTAGTTGTAGGTTTCTGAGGAGGATGGCATGTGTACAGTATAAGCACTAATTAATTATATTTTGCCGTATGTGATGGTCCAGCCATCAGGCCGTGGCCGAGTGTAGAGCAGGTCACCCAGCCAATGATTCGGTGTTTGGATCTGTGATGGTGGTCTTCCGGCCACCACAATCTTGTTATTGTGATAATCTTTTTTGCTGATGAAATATGTCACAATATTTGTGCTTTGCAAGATTCTGTGGCTACTATGTTGTGCTGCCTATATGCATGATTATGTAGGATTCTGTTCTGCCTTTCACGACATATATCATTCTTTTGGCATTATGCTACCCATAGTTAGTTAAGAGAGCTACAAATTATCTTTTCCTTAGGTTGGATAATTTTGATTGATTAGTGTGTGCTTGAGCACGTACAGCTGAGAGCACCTCATGTATTTTATATAGATGTTCATTAAAGCTATTATCCGCGTCTTCTGATTATTCACTGTAATTGACATCTCCACTGTATTTGTGAATATATGAATCTAGGTTGTAAGAGTAATCTTAACGAGTTTTTGTTTTGCTGCTGTTTAGAAGCCTGTTTGTTTTATTCATGTACGTACTTTGGATCCACGTATCTCATGTATTAGCAATTTAGAAGTTGTGGATATTTTGGCCCATGAACAGTGGACATCTTGGCTTGTGAACAACACTAGGCAAACAACATGCGGTTTTTGTAAGAGCACACTATGTTAATTGTAGCCTGCTGCACAGAATGGCAAAAACAACTGTATTTTATATTTCTTTGTTATAGGCATGTAAACCCAACCTTATCCCACAATGGCATTCTTTGAGATTTTTGATTTGATTAGCTCCTCCTCTTGATTGTAGGCCAATGCCTAGGCTCTGCTGCTGCCTATAGGAATTTGGGTCACTTTCGTCTTTCTTGGTGAGTTCAACAACAATGAGTTTCGGTGGACTACCTCCTCAGCTACTTCAGCTTCTGCACTGCAGGGCGATGACAGCCTCATTACAGCGGTGGTCGCCTCTTCCTTGGTTCTGGTGAGTTCCTGGTCTCCTCCCTCTCTCCCTTATGCCTTGAGATTATCCAGCCATTGAGTCATGGCTGATTATCGAGCCAATCATAGGGTTCCGTTATGTGGTCATGTTGTCTGTGGTGGTGGTCTTCTGCCCACCAGAGTCTTGTGATTGTGATGATCTTGTTGATGAATTGCCCCATGTGGTGATTAGGCCCTTGTGCTATTTTACGCTATTTGTGATGGTTTGATATTTATTTAGGATCTTGGTGTGCTACTGCCTAGGGTGTAGAACTTGATATGGAAGGAACAAATCTTTTACTGCACTTGCTGCACCTTGAAAACTTTAGTTTCAAATTGGAGATTCAATTCAGGTTGACATGTGTCTCCTGTAATATACAAGGAAACATCTATTTCACCTCCAGTTGCCGCGCTTGCAAGATTGTATGTTAACTGTTAAACTATCTTTATGTCTGAAAGGGAATGAGCTTCCTAACTATGCATAGTCATGTAATTTCAAGTAGTTATGACGCAGTCTTCAATCTCTCTCTGGCACTCTGCATGCTATGACAGTCACCCTGTATAGACGCCATTTGAAGGATTTTATGCTTACCTTGGTCTGCATGTATGAAGTGCGATTTATCTATGAGCAACTTGCTATTGGTTTTAGCAAAGATGTACTTCCTCCGTTCCTAAATATAAGTCCTTTAGGGATTCTAATGCGGACACATACATAACAAAATGAGTGAATCTACACTCTACAGTATGTCTATATACATCCGTATGCAGTCCTTATTGCAGTTCATAGATTCATATAATACTAGATAGTAGCTTATCTTCTCTTGGTATTTACATATATATTTGATGCTCTTAGATGGACACTCAAACTCCTGCTTTTAGATATGGTAATGGCTCACTAAGGGCATTTCCAACGCGGATCACCAGAACAGCCCTCACCAAATGTCTATGGACAGGGATAGGGGTGGAGACATCCAACCACAATCACCAAATGTCCGCCCCTGGTCCAGCCTCCTCCATTTGACATGCATATCTAGATCAATACCAATTTAAGCATACGTTTAATAGTTGCAAACATATGCACCGGATCTTCAATATGTTTTTACAGATTCCAAAAGTTGCTAGTCCGGCTGTCCATGTCAAAGACCTTCGTCGGCTCCCATTCCGGCTGTCTGTGGCAAAGACCTCACTCTTTGGCTTCTCCGGCCTCCTCCCTTTGCGCGAAGCGCTTCAATATGCTCACACGCTAGGCTTGGACAATCTTCGCCGCATCGGAATCCAAGTCCGACGTTTTCACGAACAACATTTTGGAGTCCTCCGAAGCGGCCTTGATCTCAAGCTTCTTCTCTTGGAGCTTGAGCTTCTTGTCTTGCATCTCCATGAAGATGCCAAATCTCTCCCCCTTATTTCCCTCTTTCACCTCATTGCGTGCGACACTTGCCTCCTCCTTCGTCATGATGTCCTTGAACTTCTTCGTCATCTTGGCCGCCGCCCCTTCTCCCTTCTTTTTCCCCTCCTCCCACTTCCTTCCCTGGTTCCTAATCACCTTCTTGGCCAAAGCAAGTCCATCTTGTCTTGGAACGGTTGGATCACCACCTTCGTCTTCATTGAGCATGGCGTTGACGGAATTGGCAATCAAGGCGGTCCACTTGCTTTGCCCATTCAACTTCAACTAACAATGCATATAGATGAAGTGCTTCTTCTCCATCTTGTGATATAATGTGCATGCACGTACGACCTAGCAAAGGAAGACAATGGATGGTCAACAAGTTGCAACATTGAGCAAATCAATGAAATGACCAACACATAGAGCAACAAGGCACACAACTTATGAGATCTTGGATTGCCGCGCTACTTGGCCATCAGGTTTTCACTTAATTGTAAAAGCTGCAGAACTTGTTGATGCCCTCTTTGAATGTTGTACATTTGATGGTTGAGCGACTTTGAATTGCGCTGATGGATCACTTCCTTGTGGTAGGGATTGTAGTGCTTTTGCTCGTGAAACCAAATATGCATGCTTTGCTAAAATGCCACGCTCTGTTACTAGTGGCCAACCAATGCCTCACAACAACTCATCCTCCTTTGGGGAGAAATTTAGTCCCTCTGCTTCTTCTTTGGGTCGACGCCCGGCGCCCACTGCTCATCCGGATCCATGTGCGGCTGCTGGGTGTCCAACTGCTGGGTGCATGTTTGTTGGGTGTCCTACTGTGGTTGTTTCTACGGCTAGGAGTCATCCACTTATTCGTCTTCGTAGCTGCTTTCGTCGTGGATAATGTTCATCATCGCCTCGTCGGCTACCGCTGTCCCGCTTGGATGGGGCATTCCGGCAAACATTGATTGGGCATCGACGGACGAGCAGTCCACAGCCGCCATCCGCGATCGGACAAGCTCCCGTGACTGCGACTCCGTGAAGGCATAGTCGGTGTTGAGGTCGACGGTGAGACTTGATGGCTGGAGGTGGAGGAGGACGTGGACTGTTGCGGCGATTGCTGTGGAATGAGGTGCTGGGAGGCGTAGTAGTAGAGTGGCTTCAGCTGGGATGGCCACGACGTCGATTGCCTGGGCGACACCAGGGTGGCGGCGCACTTTGACCGGCCGCCGATGAACCCCCCGCCTTCTTATTCGCCCTGTGATGGCGGGTGCTGCGCTCTGCAGACGCGGCCTTGCGGGCGGCCACCACGG